CTGTTGAAGACTCATCATGGGCGAGACTGCTAGAGTAGCCAGATGTAACGTTCAGGTAGGACAAAGCTTGTTCACTATTGCGCATCTAGATATTCTGCATTGGTTTTTCAAATTGGATGCAATTTGCAGGATCAATGTAGAATTAACATTTCGACTCGGGAAAGACTTTTTTTATCAAATCCTAACTTGTAGAAAACTATCGATTTGAATGTCGACAAGGAAAAAACAGAGATACTTTTGTTAGATATTTGACAAAACGCCGGATCGGTATTTATCCAACGCTTAAAAAATAACACGGAGAACGTTTTAGTTGGATGAATAAATTTTCATTACTTTCCGCTTGCGGTTTTCGATTGTTAGCGGCGATTCAGAGACTAAGAGAGAGGAGAGAGAGAAAGAGAGAGAAACGTCTTGCCGGGATTTCTGCAGACCGGTTCATTTCGACAGATTCGGTATTAAAATATTAGACGTAGAAAAAATAAGAATGAACAAAAATTTTTTATATTAGTTAGTACAGAAAGTCCGACGTACTTTTGTCAAATAGAGATGAGTACTAAATTTTCAACAAGTTAGGACTAGGATAGAAAAAACGTCAAATCTTTTGCGACGATGGAATTAAACAGCAATATAAATTTTGATTTACGATATTAATCGATATTCGATTTCCGGTACTGATTTACTTTCTCATTTCTCTATAAGAGAAGAAAAAATTAATACGAATTGTTCGTTTATATATCCGAGTTAATTTGTTGAATAAATTAGAGAGGTAAGTACCTGAAAAATGAGAACGAATTGTCATTGCACTTGGACAATCTTCTGACACTGATTTCTGGTATTGAAAAAAAAATTCATACGAATCGTTCATTTATCCGCGTTAATTTGACGAATAAATTAAATATTGATCGGTCTTCAATTTTCGGTACTGACTGATTATCTAATTTCTTTATAAGAGAATAAAAATTGATACGAATCGTTCTTTTATCCGACTTAATTTGCTGAGTAAATTAGTAGGGTAAGTACCTGCAAGATGAAAACAACTTGTCATTGCACTTGGACAATTTTCTTGACATTGATTTATGGTATTGATCAGTTTTCGGTTTTCGGTACTGATTTATTATCTCATTTTTTTATAAGACAAAAATATTGGTACGAATCGTTCGTTTATCCGAGTTAATTTGTTGAATAAGATTAGAGGGGTAAGTACCTGAAAAATAAGAACAAATTGTCATTGCACGTGGGCAATTTTTTGACACTGATTTATGGTATTAATTGATATTCGGTTTTCGGTACTGATTTACTCTTTCATTTGTCTATAAGAAAACAGAAAATTAATATGAATCGTTCATTTATCCGCGTTAATTTGATGAAAAAATTAAGTATTTATCGGTCTTCGGTTTTCGGTACTGATTTATTTTCTCATTTATTTAAAAGACGAAAAAAATTGATACGAATCGTTTGTTTAACCGAGTTAATTTGTAAATTTTAATTGAGTAAATTAGCGGGGTAAGTACCTGAAAAATGAGAACAAATTGTCATTGCACTTGGACAATTTTCTGACATAGATTTATGGTATTAATCGATATTCGATTGTCGGTACTGATTTACTCTTTCATTTTTCTATAAGAAAAAAAAATTCATACGAATCGTTCATTTATCCGCGTTATTTTGATGAATAAATTAAATATTGATCGGTCTTCAATTTTCGGTACTGATTTATTCTCTCATTTCTTTATAAGACAAGAAAAATTGATACGAATCATCCGTTTATTCGAGTTAATTTGTTGAGTAAATTAGAGGCATAAATACTTGAAAAATGAGAACAAATTGTCATTGCACTTGGACAATCTTCTGACACTGATTTCTGGTATTGATTGATATTCGATTTTCGGTACTGCTTTACTCTTTCATTTCTCTATAAGAAAAAAAAATTCATACGAATCGTTCATTTATCCGTATTAATTTGATGAATAAATTAAATACTGATCGGTCTTCAATTTTCGGTACTGACTAATTCTCTAATTTCTTTATAAGAGAATAAAAATTGATACGAATCATTCTTTTATCCGACTTAATTTGTTGAGTAAATTAGTGGGGTAAATACCTGCAAGATGAAGACAACTTGTCATTGCACTTAGACAATTTTCTAACATTGATTTATAGTATTGATCAATATCCGGTTTTCGGTACTGATTTAGTCTTTAATTTCTCTATAAAAGAAAAAAAGATTGATACAAATCGTTTGTTTATCCACGTTAATTTGATGAATAAATTCGATATTGATCGGTATTCGATTTTCGGTACTGATTTCTCCTTTCATTTTTCTATAAAAAAAGAAAAAATTCAGATGAATTGTTCATTTATCCGCGTTAATTTGATGAAAAAATTAGATATTGAACGGTCTTCAATTTTCGGTACTGATTTATTTTCTCATTTTTTTTATAAGACAAGAAAAATTGATACGAATCGTTCGTTTATCTGAGTTAATGTGTTAAATAAGATTAGAGGGGTATGTACCTGAAAAATAAGAACAAATTATCATTGCACGTGTGCTATTTTTTGACACTGATTTATGGTATTAATCGATATTCGATTTTCGGTACTGATTTACTCTTTCATTTCTCTATAAGAAAACAGAAAATTAATACGAATCGTCCATTAGTCCGCGTTAATTTGATGAATAAATTAAGTATTGATCGGCCTTCGATTTTCGGTACCGGTTTATTCTCTCATTTCTTTATAAGAGAAGAAAAATTGGTACGAATCGTTTATTTATCCGCGTTAATTTTTTTTATTATATATAAGTAGTCCACGGGACGATTAAATATTCGAATATATGTTGCCGTATCAAAGTCTCCTCTATAATAAACGATTTGACATGTCTGGAGACGCATGATGTATCGTTGCCCGCATCCCATTCCCTTCGTCCTGCTTCCCTGTATAAAATGTCGAATTGAAACGTATTAAAAAGTATTGACATTTTGAATATGTCTGAATTCTGAATCTTTTTGATCCGAAGAAAAGGATTGAAAAGTATTAGTTTCCATTAAATCTTACTGCGCTAAATGCGAGACGTCTCTTTCACTCGGGTGCCTCACCAGGGAAATTTCTCTGGCACGCTAAATCCCGTAAGGCCTTCAGTCTTTGTAGTATATCTCGTCGGTGCATAAGGTTTATATTACCTGTACATACATATTTTGAAACATTTTCTTTGGATATTATATCAAACGGATTTTGCGTGTCCGTGTAATATCCTTCGGACTACACGGACATTATTATTTTGATCATTTTGATTTCTTTGGTATTCATTGAATTATCCAGAACGCGCAACTGTCATGTTGAACGACTCAATTGTCGTGTGAAACGTTTCGATTTTCACAATTTCATATACAATTTTTCATTTTTCACTGATTCACAGAAGTCTTTCACTTTTTATTAGTTCACGCTAGGGAAAGATTCATGATCGCTGCCCCGAGCAGCTGCAACGCTTTTCGAATCATCTATATCGGCGCGCTTTTACTCCTCAGATTTCTGTCATTAATAACTCAATAATTATTGCGAATCTCGCAAAATGGTATGGGACTTTTATGTTTGTCTCACCTCATTCTACCCTCACACTTCGGGTTGGCAGCTAATTACCGGACACTTCGTATGATCTTCATGATATTAATCATATACAATGTCAGTTCTTTTTTTTTGCACATGTTAACATGTTAATTCATGTTATAAACGCGTAACAATGTGAGAGAACGTGCTTGTCAAGTACGCTATTATGGTTGTAGCACGGACATAAACCGCCTAAAAATGGATGTAGCACAGATTGCCACCACATACAGGTTTTACCGCTGAAACCTGAAAGTGGATGTAGCATCGTAGTTCCCCTCTCAAAATGGATGCAGATGGCGCCCTTTCCCAGTGCGGAAAGTCGGTGTCGTCGAAATCACCGTGTTGGCCGTTCTCACGTTCCTCTCTGCTATTAGTCATAAGTTGTAACCAAATTGACTAACCACAGTCGATTATTTTTTAAATAATCAATTGTGATTGGTCAATTTGCTTATAGCATATAGCTGACTAATTGCTTATTGTAGAAGGCCTCTTAGGCCCAGTTGCACCAACATTATTTTGGTTTTAAGTGAGACTTAAATATATCTCTGTCTTTATTTATTTAGTAAGAAAGATAAAGATAGACTTATGTTTAAGTCTCACTTAAAACTAAAATAATGTTGTTGTAACTGGGCCTTATACTCGTATTTATAGGGCCGTATTCGTAATCCGGTCTTATATTTAAGATCGTTTTAAGTTCATCTTCAGATGCTGTATAGATCATTTCATTGGCTACAGAATATCTGAACGTGAACTCAAGACGGTCTTAAATATAAGATCCGACTATGAATACGGCCCATAGTTGGGCCTTATATTTGAGGCTTTCTTATATCCATCTTTAGATGCTGCACGGATTATTTTATTAGCTACAGACCATCTGTAGATAAACTTAAGGAAGTCTTAAATATAAGGTCTGAATACAGGTGAAAGTCTCGACAATACTGACTTTTTCTTTAATTTTGTCACTAAAGTAATCGAATATGGTATCTACTTACTACATTCAGGCTGTTTCAAAATTACTGACAACTTTGAACAACTGAATATATGTGACATGAACTATAGTTTTTCAGTGCTGGCAGTAAATATCGAAACGCAGCCTATGTAAAGCCAGCGGCACACGGTGCTTGTTTTCGTGCTGGATTGCTTGCTGGATGAAAATACTGCGTTCTGATTGGTGCATTTCCGAAATGCACCAATCAGAACGCAGTATTTTCATCCAGCAAGCAATCCAGCACAAAAACAAGCACCGTGTGCCGCTGGCTTTACTTGTGTCTCTCTAGAAAATGCGCAAGTATGATTGGATAATCTTGAATTCCCAATCTGCAGTTCCAATTCACAATACTTATATTGATACAGGCTTTATATTGATTGATAAATCGTTTACTAGGGGTGTTCTCGCCACAGTCGTTCTCAGTTGCTAGCAGTTATCACCGTCATTATATCGCACTAATCTTGGTCGATCGTCGTCTAGCGTATGAGCGTATGTTGTCTAATTAGTTGCTCCGATACTGTTTCGTAATCGCGCGAGGGTACGGTGTTTGTTAAGACTCGAAAATGACATCCCGTCTGGAAAAGGAGCGCGCTAAGCAAATACAAGAGAAATGTCAAAATTTATTGACGGAAATGCTCCGCGATGAGGACAACAAGTACTGCGTTGATTGCGACGCGAAAGGTTTGATACGGCATCAGAATATTCTTTATGTGTGCTCTTCTTTCGCATCTTCTTCCTCTTGGCACAGTCTGTTACTCGATAGAATGCTTCTTATTTGTATTTAATACTTATTTAGATTTACCAATTAATTCATCGATATCGATCACGAAAGACAAAGCGACCTAGTTTTACAGTGCATCTAAACGTTATGGATTTTTAATTTCCGCTGCTGACATGCTGTCAGCGCTGTCACTTAACGTCATCATTTTTTCCTGAACTCACGTTACTTTCACGATCTTTGAGATTACCTTGAAAATCTATGGTTGCTGTACAATGATTTCTAATGGATTATTACTTTATAAAAATTCATTATTAATAATATAGTGGCGGATGTGTAAATACTGATAAATTATATTATTGTAAAATGCTTATATTACTATTTTTACTTGTTTAACTTTGTAGATTTAACATCTTTCTTAGATTATATAGTTTAATAATAAGTTTGCATTTGACAGGACCAAGATGGGCTAGCTGGAATTTGGGAATTTTTTTATGTATTCGATGTGCTGGCATACATAGAAATCTTGGGGTTCACATAAGCAAAGTCAAGTCTGTTAATCTGGACACATGGACACCAGAACAAGTAGTGGTACGCCAATATATAAACTGTAATATTTTAGTAAAAGATGGCAATTATAATTGATTAGAGTTCATATTAGGAAACATCTAAAAACATATCTCTATATTTTATAAATTTTATTTTTATTATATAAACAATATATAATTATTTTTATATAAAAATCAGTGAATGATTTAAAAAATTTAGGATTATGTTAAATATTTACATTAAAGATAATTTTACCAATGATAATGATTTTCTCATATGTTATTCAAGTCATCAAAAATGATGATACTGTAAATAATGATATTCTATAGATACTCTTTTCAGTATCTATAGAAAGATTTTAACTGTATCTTACTGTTTATTAAAAAATTATAAAACATGTGCTAACATCTTGTGTTATAGGATTTGTTCATAACATTACATTGCATATTTGTGTGAATTTTTATTTCAACATAATTATATCTTCAATGAATAAATGAATGAATAAATGAATTAATTAATTAATTAATAAACAGTTTCTTTGATATAATATCTGATATCCAATTTCAGATAATAACAAATCCAGCTTACTTCTTTAGAGTAAAGAACAATTTGAAAATATTGATTCTGAAGGGTTTCATTTTATGGTTATATTCTCTCATTATTTTTCACATTTTTTTATTGACTTATATCTTATTAAATTAATGAAATTTTTTACCTTACTAAATTGATGAATCTATATATATATATATATATAAAGAATAGTTTATATATTGACTGAAATTTCATTTTATATAAAGGTCTTTGCTAATCTTTATAATTTCTCCATTTTTGATACATGGTAGACTTATTAATTTAATAAGACAAAAGATTTATGAAATTATGTTTTGAAATTATATTCTGTAGCTGATAATACTTGTTATATTTTCCAAATTGTTTTTATTAATAATTTTTTAATAGACAATAAACAATTTTTTAATCATGCAATAATTACTCATACTACATAATAAATATAAGGATGATCTTGATAATATATATATGAAGTAAGATTGTTCTTAATATAAATATTTACCTTTCATATTTTTTATGAAAAAGATTATAATTTCTAATTTCTAATGCTGTATTTATGTTGCAAATTATATATATAAAGTAAACATCATACTAATATATACAGTTACAAAACTTGTTATGTTCCTTTTTATTTTAATTATATTGAAATGTATAATAAATTTCATATTTTTTAGATTAAATGATTGTATTTTTATATTGTTATAATTTTATTAAAAAGTGTGTATATATTTGATCTATGGTCTTTTGTCATATTTTGTATATTGTTTCATAAAATTTTAGTGACAAAAACATAATTATTATATTGTCATTTTATTTAAAAGATATGAGTTATTTATTATATAACTCAATATAATAATTACAATATAATTTTTATAATAATATATGTAGTATATATACATTTTTATAATATTATATGTAGTTTATATACAGTCACGAAATAGCAAGTATTTTATATTTAATTCAATATTTAATTCATATTTTTAGAGTTTACAACAAATGGGTAATTCTCGGGCCAGAGCAGTCTATGAAGCAAACCTTCCAGATAGTTTTCGAAGACCTCAAACAGATTGTAGTCTTGAAAGTTTCATCCGTGCAAAATATGAACACAAAAAGTATATAGCCAGAGAATGGGTGCCACCTCCTTTACCAAAAGTACGATTATTGCACTTATTTTGACATTTATTCTATTTAATATATAATTGTAATAAATATATAAACAAAAATATATATGTATCTAAAAGAATTTTATACAGATTACTTTTTTAATTATAGATAAATCATGATAAAACTCAATAAGATTTGAGGACCAAAAAAATTATCAAACAATAAATAATATTTATATGTTATATATATTATTTATATATTCATTTTACATCTGTTTTTACATCTGATAGATTATTATAACATGTTTATTATTTTAAGTTTGAATAAATTATTGTAGGTAAATTGGGATAAAGAACTTGATGAGGAAGCTGAGAGGCAACGTAGACGAAAAAAAGATAGCTCCAAAGGAGCTACCAATCAGAATGTACTTCCACCTATAAAAAAACCAGAAGTAGTGCCTCAACTGCCAAAACCTCGGTCTGTCAACTTTAGCCCTAAGCTGGATAGAACAAGCAATTCTGCAACTTTGGATCTTTTGGGTCTTGGTAGGTTTTTCATTTAATATGTAAAATTCAAAAAGTTTATAATAATTTTTCATAACATTATTAACAGATGCACCAACAGCTAACCAGACAAATATAAATGGTTCTGGTGATGACATATTTTCATCCTTCTTGTCTGCACCACCTGCTTCAGTAGTAACATCTGGAAATGATGCTTCTGATGCAAATACAGCTGTTGTCACAAGTAAAAATGAAGAAGAAAGTTTCTTTGACCAAACGTCTCTTAGGTCAGTACCTCAGGAAAAAAATAAAATGACAAAGGACAGTATTTTAGCATTGTATGGCACACCGAATCACCAATCAACAATTTATGGTGTCCCAGGTAGTGTATAAAATAAAAATTATATTCACTGAGTAATTTGAATTGTTTATTTATTTCATATATTTCAGGGCCAGTATATCCTCATTCTATACCATATAAACAACAGATGACGAATGTGGGTGCATTCGGACAACAAAGTTCCTTGGCTCAACTTGGCCAACTTCCAACACAAATATCAGTTACGAACCCAATACCCATAAATCAAAATTCACTTATAGCAAATTCTAGTTCGATAGGTGCGGTAACAGCTAATCCTTTAAGCAATTGCTTACATATGGGACAAATGAATCAAATGAATGGTGTACCAAATGCTGCTGTTACAATGCCACCTCAAATGGTATATAACTTTTTATGTGATTTTGTTGAATATACTAACAATATATGATCTAATATGTTAACAGGTCTCATGTTCTATCTCTTCATTTAAAGCCTTTTTAATTTATTCTGATCTTCTAGATGATGCAGTTAGGACAAAGTAATATCGCTAGTAATAACGGATGGAGTGGCATGTTAACTCAGAATCTCCAACCAGCTCCTGGTAGTAACCCATTCTTCAACTTAACAGCACAGCAACAACAAACTGCTACATTCGCTGCTCAAGTATGTAAACAGAATTTTAATTTCTTGGAATTTTTGAATTCAGTTTTAAACAGATGAAATATGATAAAAGGTGAAAAATGATAATGATGATGTAATTGATGTTTTTAATAGTCTGGCAAAAACTGTACAAACTATTATTTCGTTGCGGCATACATATTAGGATCAACAGTATAATTTTCTACCATTTTGTAAATTTGTACAATAATTATTAAGCAATTAATTAAAATAGTTGTATTATGAAATGAGTTTCATAAGAATTTAATGAAATCTGCATTGCGTATATATCGAAATATTGGGGAGTGTTTGTAATACCGTCACTCAGATATGATAAACATAAATCATGAATGCTATTAGTCGCATACATTGCGATGTTATTTCTGAGCGAGTAACGTTCACGATTTATGTTTACTGTACCTGAGAGACAGTATTGTAAAAACTCCCTAATATCTAACTGCTTATGCAATTAGAAAAATATCAATCATTGGAGAGATGAGATATTTACAATTAAAATTGACATTTTTTATACGTGTTTCTTTAGGTTGTCATCGTGTCCTTTCTCTTTAATTTTTATTTTCCTATTATTATTTCTAAATTTCCAAATTCTATTAGTTCTAAATTGAATGTTAGGTTTTATAAAATATCTACTATAGTATTAAAGATTAATATGCAGGTGCTATATCCAAATATCAAAAGTATTGATTATTTAGTTTTAGCAATATAATCGTAATTTATAGTAATATAAATACAAAAAGTAGAATGATAAAGATGCGGCGACAATATACGCATGATCCCACAAATAAATAGGTGTAAATAGATATTTCTAAATCCTTACATCATGTTTCTAAATCCTTACATATAGATATCATAAAGACAAGTAAAACAATTAAAAAATAATAGACATATTTTTATTTTTGTTAAAAAAATAGCAATAAAGAAAATGCAATTTTTTTATTGATAGGTGTGTATACATATATATGTGTGCAATACAGACACACACACATACACATATATTCTTTTTCATTTTTATTACAGAATACAATAATTGTTTTCTTTACAGTAACTCTTCTTTTATATAAATAACAACTGAAATAAAAAATCATTGTTGAGATATCTTTTAATTTTTTGGATAACATGTTTTTTTATAAATCTCCCTTTATATTGAAATCTATTATATATATTTGATTTATGTTAAACTATCCTCGAAGTAAAAAATAGGTTAAAAAGAAGATTAATTTGGAAAAGAATCCGACATATGCATATGCATGTCACAATCAACCTATATTCGTATGCGTTCATCAAAACAAATCATTACATTTATGTGTGTGTGTAACCAACAATCTCAATCAAAAGTTTGCATGAAGCGGAACAATGTTACTTGCTTTACTGTCAGTGACTTCGCTAAGATAACATGAAAGTTAACTTTAATTTTTTAATGAAACCATGAGATTTTTTCAACATAAATGAATTTTTTTTATTATTCTGCGTATAAAAGTATTAAAGCAAAATCATCGAAAAATTAATACTTTCTGGTATATTTTACATTTTATTCTGATAATTTGTAATACGGGCTATGAAATATCTCATAAATTATTTAATTTTCGATAATTTCATCTTAATAATTTTATACGTAAGATGACGAGAGAAGTCGATTGATGATATTATTGCATATTAGTGCGCCAATAAATAAATATGCAAAATGTCATGGAATTTTGTTTAAGCTTTCTCTGTTCTTTGTTTTTATAACATAATCGATTTCACCTGTCATTCTGTGTATAAAAATATGAAAGGGTAAAGTTGTTAAAAAGTGTAAATAGTTTATAAAATATTTCACATTTGTTTTGAAAACCAATCAAGAGCAGCTATGCAATGCTTATGCTCAAAATGTCTCTCGCTGATTAACTTATGTTCGCTAAAAATTGAAGTAATTAAGAAACAATGTTATTTAAATTTTAACAACAAAATATTGAACCATTTCGGTCCAAGAATACTATGATGTAATATTTAGAAGAACATTATGAGATAATATATTTTTTGCATAATTTTTACTGAATCAGATTTTTTAGTTATTTGTATAGTATTAATCTCATAATAATTTATAATAATGTTGCAGTTGCCGCAACAAATGTCGCAGATATCTCTGGGTGACATGAACTTTGTCACTACAACGGGTAAACCTGCCTCTGCCACGTTACCAGGACAGACTCTTTCTACTAACTTGTGGCAGTAAAAAAATATTACGGATATTGTTAGCCTGTTGATTATTTCATTCAGTGTTGCGTACTAGTGTCGACAGTTCATTATTCAACGTAATAATATTTCTATGCCTATTCGGGATGTCATTTTCGAAAGTAATGGAACGGAAGATGATAAATATGAATTAGAAAAATGGAAAACAAAATCCACTCGAATGTTACCTCATACGAAATAATTCGTGAATGTGTATAGTGCTTCGAGTTGGTAGATATTTTTCTTGAGAGGTTCTCGTCAGCTTTCTTGTTGTTGGACAAGAGAAACGGGAGGAGAGAATAAAATGTGTTTCTGTAAAGTTTCTGGCGAATCGTAAGGAGTTATTCGTAAAACTAAATATATACCTTAAGGTATATATTTACTAAATATATACCATTATGTTGCTACAATATGAGCTTTTGTAATTGCGATTAAAATATGTGCCAGGGTCCACTTTCAGCGTAATGACGTGTTCACTCAATAATGGAAAGCGGTATGATTTCAAGGGATTCAGATTTCGACACTGTAGACAAACAATAACATATTCTATACTTTTTATCTGCTTTGGCCATGATAAATGATAACGTGACAACTGGCGCGTTTGTACATTTTCTTGCATCAACTGTAATAATTCTCTTGCATTTATATTGAAAATCGAATTAATTGAAATCATACCGATTTCAATCTCTAATTCAAGTAGGAAATACATATACATATATGGACAAGTTTCGTCAGAAATGTAAAAAGACTTGGATTTCGAACTTATTTTTAAAGTATTATAATTGACACGTGCAATATGTGTGTGTGTCTACATTTATTCTATATTATTAGCGAGTTTGAAACTTTTTTGTGCGTTCTTACATTTATTTATAATATTATAGGAAAGATATTCACATATTCGAAGTAATGTTTTACACAAATTTCAAACCTAATTCTCACTTAAATGTTGTCCGAGATATAGTTCGACTTTATTATTGTTCTTGATAAAATTCGAGATTAATAATTTGTGAATTGATTAGAGTTCGACCGAAACATTTTTTAAATTTCGGCCGAAACCGAAAACTAGGAAGGCATATATACACGTGCGCGTGCATATCTACCATATACTATTTTTTATAAATGTAATTTAATTATCGAAATACTTACATATAATATTACAATTTTAGTATTATAAATTATTCGCTTTTTATTTACAAACTGGTATACTCGCGAAGCCACGAATATTATTTATTTTACTCTGTAATAAGTTATAATTTAAGCAGTTATCATGTTATATAAACGAAAAAATACTAATAGAACAATATCACTCTAAGAAAACAAAGAAATGAAAAAGTACTCACAGTTTTATCTGACGAATTTTCAGAAAGTGACATTCATAAAAACATAACATATTAGGTATTAGGCAAATGAAAATAAACAAAAAGGAGAAAAATTGCAGCGAACGCTGCGTCGATGCAGATTAAAATCTTACAAGTTATAACTTGATCAATTTCATTTATGTTGCCGAAATTCCTTTTGAATCTTGGTCGAAACCGAAAGTCTGATTTTTTTGGCCAAAACTAGCCATAACCGAAAGTGAATTTTCGGTCGGACTCTAGAATTGATTAATTATTAAAAAAAAAATAAAAGTTTATATATGCTCTAGTATAAATGTATGCTCTAGTATCTATTGTTATCAAGGTACGAAGCTTTAAAATCAAGAAATTAAAGTTATTAATTTTTTTAATTGCTTTGCTTCTTAAAACTGAATAATCGCGATGCACATGTTAATGATCGCAAGGCAAGATAAACTAAATAATACGATTTTTTAAGAAACAAAATTCTTGAAAAGAGTTAAATTAAATTTGGCTTTTTCAAATTTTACAGAAGTTATCACTTTATACTTATAATTAATTTCGAAATAATAACAATGGATTACTTATTAGAAATCTTTCAGTAATATTCCGGGTTTATTGCTAGGACAGAATAAAAAATTTCACTTGATTAAACATACTATTCTTTACTAACAGAAGATTTTAAAAATCTAATAATATTATGTGTTTTTTACTTTCCAAAATATTTTTTAACCTTTCCCGTGCACCGTGTTGTAGAGGTGATCTCACGTCCCAACAAATATAAGAGTTCCTGATCTCCCGCGAACGACAAGGCCACCGGGGCACCAAAAACAAAGTGAACGAAGAAAACGTATGCCGGAAGGAAGTGGAGAAGCGCCGACCATCGAACTAACCTGGGAATCGTCGGAATTGTCCTTCGCCGATTTTAATAGGCATGGAATATGTTACAGAGAATCGAAAAATAAGAGACACATTTTTTATATGCGCTCTTATTAAGATTTAGGGATTGAGGCAACCCTTTGCAAATAGCAGTTTTTCATTTTCAGCGAATATCTTTGAAACTATGAAATATATCAAAAAAATGTTTTATATAAAAGTTTCATAGTTTTTTTATACTCTTTATAAAGATATATTCAATTTTTCGAAAATCCAACATTTTTAAATTTATCTCCATTCTTAATAATTCTGCTAAATTTAAAAATTTTGTAACGACAAAAATTATGTACTATCGAATGTCGGATCCATACATATATAATAAGGCGAAAGAGAGCGTGAACGAATATGAGAGAAAATAAATTATAAAGAACGCGGTTATAAGAATAAATTTTCATATAATGCAACCCAGTTATGCGTATTGATCGAAAAGAAGCGATAATAATAAACATGTGAATCTGTTTGAATAATAGAAAAGTGTTTATTGAGCATAGAGTTACATATTACAATGGGAAGAATGACAATGATGACAGTGTTGATGACGATGATGAGTAACGAGAAAGGATAATAACGATAAAACTAATGGTATAATTCGTTTCTTCAACGAATGATGAAACTTATATCGCAATTGAATGATACACTTAAACAACGTACTTTTACAGACCTCTCTCATTTGTATCTGCTTGACTAGCATTATTAGAAGCATTATCGACATTATTATAATAATTAATAATTGTGTTAGTTAATCAAATAAGGAGTGAAAGTGCAGTTGTGTTTCTGTATAAGGTCACATTATACAAGGTATAACGCGATTAAAGACGCGATTCAATAAATTAAATTGATATTGAAAGTGAAAGAGAAGAAGGGCAAGGAAGAGAGTGACGGAGGAAAAGGTGAAGAGATGACGAGGAAATGTACATTTATAGATTGCTAATTGTTACATATATATATGACGAGTACATACACATTCTAAGACAATAAAAATGCGAGGCCGATTTACATGAGAGCTCTTTCTCCCGCTCTCTTGATCTCTCCTTGTCCAGCAAAAAAATATCTCTAACATCATTCGTTTTTGCGCAAAAATGTCGGAAAATCGTTGGTCTACATTAAATACCACCTAATAATTTTGTATCACTCCGTTTACGTATTATTGCGGCTTACATTATTAGCGCAAGAGCCGCTAACGATAATAATAGTTATCGAATGAATTAAAATGATCACGATAACGATAATTATTATTATCGTTACTATATAATTTCACGGACACATACGGTATAACAGGAGTTATTACAACACAGCCTTCGATCGATGTCCAAATCAGCCTGGCAAGTTTTATTGTCGGAAAGTTGAAAAGAGGAGAAGAAAGTGAAGTCACATGTTATATCGCGCGCATAGAGAAAATGTATACAATTCGCAATTTAAGGAAAAACAAGGGCAGAAACTAAGATTATATAAGAAATTCGATTAAGAGTTACGGATCGCTTATGTCTACTTAGTAATTCGCGACTCACTTGTTCGTAAAAAGTACTTAAAATAGAATCTAAGCTAGTCTTCTTCTTCGTTCTCTACTCTAAAACGCGTCCTCGCATCGAGAAGACTTACTTTATGATTTTTCCTTTTTTTTTTCTTTTTTCTGCTCGCTCGATTATAGAAAACGTATACGCGTTTCGATTCTTGTCTTTCGTATATAAAGTATTGTACTCGCGAAGTCGCTTTCGAGTCTAGAGATCATTCGCGTCGATCGTTACGTCGATCGTACGTATCAGTATATTAATATTATAACAATTAAAGAGAGCGAATTGCATTGCATATTAATGACACATTTGACGAAACTAATATGTCGTTTTCGATGCATCTGTTTGCCCTTTTATTTACATACGTAGCTTGCACAGTTTTGACAAAAGTAGAAGGGAGAACGAAACTGGCCGTTCAAATTGATTACTAAATGCATCTGTTTGATTGTTAGTTATTACATTTTTTAATTTTTAGTTAGTTTTTACATTTACATCGGCAAAAAGACAAGTATAAAATCTTTTGACAACCTTAGATTAATAAGGTTGCGTAAAATTTTGATCTAATACGTTCGATTTTAATTTTGGATTCTTTGCTCCTTCAATTTTACCAATGTTCTCTGGACTCGAATCCCACTTTGCTCGTCCGGGACCGCCCCTGCCATAATCAGCGGCGATCCTTCCTTTTTTATTTATTATTGCAAACGTCCACGAGACATCGAATACTGAGTAATATGTATGATTTTTCGCAATACACACTGTATATACTTGGTGCAAGCGCGAAACGAAATATATGCTCTTTGCGAGATTATCGTTTTGCACATACGCACCCACACACGCACGTACGCACGCGCACGTTCGCGCGCGAATTTCACAGTTTTTTCCCCACTCTCATCTTTTTTTCTCATTGCATTCGGATAAGATTCAATCAATGGTCCATTCCGTCGTGTCGACTATAGTGAAAGCTGATACATCGCGAAAGATCGAGAATTTCGGTTGTACAAGCAATATGATAAACAATTTCTTCCACCGTGAATGTTAATGAATTCTCAGCGGTTTATCAGGAATTCCGAGATTCAGATAAAAGTTTCTGGCACTGTGAGTAAATCTTTTGTGTCAGTTGAATTGATCTGAGAAAAGAATTGACTAAAATTTTTAAACCAATCACAATTTTCGCATCAGCTTCGTAGTGTTTACGATAAAGATTTAAAACAAATGATTAGAAAGCTGAGAGGAGTTTTAGAATAAATTTTACTTTAATTATATAATTATATATTTTAATAATTATTGTATTATATTGTTTTGTTGTACCGTATTTGTATGTGTGGAAATTGACAAATCCAATACCCGTTGAAAATTAGAATGGTGCCGAATTATTCTGTGATCAAATAATACGCGGATACATCGTAATGTCGATTGTACAATAATACTGCTCGAGATTTGTTTTTGTTCTAAATAGAGAAAGAAAGAGAGAGAGAGGAGAAGGGGGGAGGGGGGGAGGAGAGAGAGAGAGAGAGAGAGAGAGAGAGAGAGAGAGAGAGAGAGAGAGAGAGAGAGAGAGAGAGAGAGAGACTTAGGTTTATATTAAGTCTAATTTAATTTAGGATAACCACATTGGATACAAATAGTCTCTCCGTTGCACGTTTTTAAGTACCCAAAATATTTGCTCAAGTGTTTAAAGACACATACATACATGCACACATGTGCACACACACACACACATTCATATTTCCTCCCTCCCCCCCTCTCTCTTCCTCTCTTTTTCTCTCTTCTTTATCTGCTATTAGTTTTTCATTTATAAAAGTTCGCACATTTTTTTCTAGAGATGGCAGTGCTAGGAAGGGAAAATTTCCGCTGAGAAATTTCGAACACATTAAAATTCCTGTCGCGGAATTGAATATAAACACATCGCCCAATGTCAAGTGGGCTTCGATATAAAATTCGCATTTTGAAAAAATTGAAAGAAATACGAGTCGCTCATATAACGATGTTAATGACTGCGACAGTTTTGTTATCAATGATTATGCGAAGTATGTATTTGACACACAAACTATCCTTTATCTTAAGTATATTTCTTCACTGACGAATTTGAGAAAGATCCTATGGAAATATTTTAAATATTCTCAGAGACTCTGATTTCTGAAAAAAAATCTGAGGAACGCTGAGAAATATATCACAAATTTCTCAAACTTTTCATCGAAATATTTACAAAATACATTCTAAAAATTGGGATTAAAAAATCTAAATAAATTTTTGAGAAAGTTAGAATGTTTATAAAAAGTCTAGAGGGTCATACAAAAAAATAAGAAAATATAAAATGAAGAGGCAGCAGGATTTTCAACTTACGCCCTCTCGACATCGCGCGAATCCAAATACTATTCATACAGCAAGCTTCGAAGAAACCTTTTTATGCACGTTGGAAGAAGTTGATAGATACACCTGTAGAGAAACAGTGAGCGAAGAAACATTGCGCCTTCCGATGAGCTAGATGTGCGAGATTACATTTCTAAGAAGGCGATAGGTGCTGATTTATGACGACGTATTCTCGGTGAAGTTATGAACTGATGGATGAGGATATTCTTGCGATCTTAAGAACTGGTCTTGGGCCACGCTATCTTCGCGTCGATCCGCTTGTAGGCGAAAAGGCAATGGGAGAGTTCCTGCGGGCACTCGTGATCCCCGAGTAAAGTTTCTGTAACGAATAATTTTGTGCGAAGAGTGCGAATTATTGCATGCTAAAATCGACGAAAGCCAAACTTATTTCGATGAAAGGTTCGCTTTAAACAAACAAATTCGATAGTTGACGAAAATTACCGAAACAAACTAAGAAAGTAACTAGCAAAATTAAAAAAAACATATTTTTCAATATTCGCGTGTGTAAATCATTTGCTTTTAAAATATTGCACTATAATATGCCTCGTCTACGTTACAAAAATACGTTGAATAATCACCTTCCCCTTCCACCAATTTGAACAGCCCGTAATCCTGAGGATTGGTGCACCTTATTTTATGCGCGAGGATGCGACAGATCTCCCGGGTGTTCATGTTAGGTCGCACCGGCAACGTCCTGGTATTCAGGGAGCCGTGCAACTCGTCGGGCACTAAAATTCGCAGTACAGACGAGCAATCCGGCGTTCCGTAACCCTGAAAACCCAATTGGAACTTTATGAACTCGTTAACAGAACATCGAGACACCCTAAAATGTTCCAAAGAAGATTTTGAATGCTGTCCTGTATTGTTCTCAGTATCGGCTAAGGACAAGTTCACACCTGCGTTGTTAGCAATCACAGGAATTAGAATATTTCAGTTGAACGTGAAGCTGAACGTTCACTTGCAGTTATAGGTGAAGTTCGTTGACTCGTTGTCCAGAAGCGATTTCGACGTTGTTTGCTATTGCAGGAACTATATATCAGGAAATAAAGTGAGGCTACGCCTGTATTGGTTCAAGGATCGGAATGATAACTCCGAATAACTCCGCTGACATCGGAAGGTACCGAAAAGTGCGGATCGGCAAACTGTGATTTCTTTTTCGGTTCAACACAAATTGACTGGGAGAAGTTTGTTGAAAGCTTCATCAATCTGAACCGATCGAGACTAGAGGATTTCGTCCTGATGTCGGAACGGGAAATAAATGAATTTTTTTTTCATACATTTGTTTCATAAATAGTCTTTTATTGTCTTCATTGGAGATGTGAAATGCGAAACTCGAGAAACAAACAGCCGGTCATCACCTTACGACGATCGTTTACGACAAGAGAAAATCTGAATACTTTTCTGAATCTGAATGTTTTTCGATTAATTAATGTGTGGACGACTATGTGCTGTCAGTTTTCACGTCGGAATCTTGTTGTTTCTTTGGCAGAGATATTAATCTTTCAGACATGTGGTTTTTGTTGAGCGTGATGGATCAATTAATTATAATCGCTTGATATTTAATATCTACTACATTATAAAACACACACACCAATGAATACTTGAAGAATAACAAGAGCAACAAGTATGTCGATCTTGCAGAAATGAAGAAAAGAAACACAATTTTTCAGTCGGTGTGACTTACGTTCAACGTCGACATAGTGTTCTGACTCGACTTGAAGGTCTTGAGGACATGTACAGCGCTCGACCACGTCGTCAGGTAATATCCACCTTCGCCCGTCAACAGTGAGGGATGCAGAAGACCCCACATATATTCGGCTTCAACTTCCGCATCCACCATCTTACCGCGCACCAGCACCCAGACGACCATCGGCAGGAGATCATCGGCGCCTAATGTTACATGACGACCCGAGTTTGCCTGCTTCACCTGGAATCGAACGATGAGCACCGATTCAATTATTATTGCCATTTGCCCGCACATTCATACAATTCTACGAGCTATGATATTTATTGTTCGAGAAGATTCGAAGCGAAAGACTTACAGAGTTGAAGAGGGCCGAGATCGCCGCTAACAGATTCTCCAGCTTGTCCAATGGCGAATCGACCTTCTGCAGTCGTTCGATGCACTTGAGAATGCGATCCAGATTGTCTTCCGAAGGAGGTATAATCTTAGGCTGCAAATAAAATTGTTATTGACAATCATAAAGAAAGGATAATCAATAAAAGGTAAATAAGAGTCGGTACGTTAAAACAAACGTTTCAACAAGCCTCGCGTTGACTTGTATTCGATTTTGTTCCTCGTTGATCACTTACTCGAACGCCGAGCTCGTGCATGTGCTTGCCGTAGGCATGCTGGATGTTCTCAGCGAGGGTTTGCAGAGACCCGGTGGCGGCATAGTGCTCGATGAACAATTTGTAGACGTGCTCCCGCAACGGAGTTACCACCAGACCCATCATCACCTCCTCAAGGATCGCGTCGATATTGAGGAACTCGTTTGGTCGCAGTTTCAGCCGCACCTTCTCCACCTCACGCTCGAACTCGGGCTCGCCGTTCACCAGGTAGTTCTTCATGCCCGACATAAACTGTCGCATGTTGCGCGTCACCACGTGCGGACTGGCTTCCTTGCCTTCTTTCGTGCATTGAATGAAGTTGTCGATATTCTGCGAGAACGTCGTCGCCTTATCGGCAGCCAACCGCAGTGCGTAAGCCCTGATGGTGAAGCCGGTGCCGCCTGCGTCGCGATTCCTCAATGCTTGCAGTCGCGGAGGTGCTGCGGAAAATAATTCTCTCCAAATATCTTAAAGATGTAAAGAAAAAAAGAAAACAAGAAAATACGCCGAATACATGAAAATATGTATATAAATATGATGTAGATGATATTATTTTGTGATACAAACAGCTTAAAAGCCCGTTCTTTGGTTTAGAATACATAGGAGAAATAAAATTTGTAAATTATATAAATATAGTATATGAGTACTGTATAATTGGTATATAGCTAATGTACAGGGTGTCCGGGATCTTTTGGAACTGAAATTTTGGAAATGAAAAATGAAATGAAAAATGGGGAATTTTGGAAATGAAAAATTGTGAAGATTAATCAGGTCAAACTGAAAAGAAAAGTAGTCAAGTATTGTATTTTGTAAGTAAATTTTCAATAAGTGCAATAAGTAAATATTCGAGTTATCAATTAAAAGATTCTCTAGATGTGGTTATTTTCAATCATTAGTAACTTAATAACTATTGCGATATTTGCAAAATGGTACTTGACTTTTCTTCTCAGTTTGATCTGATTAATCTTCTAACAATTTTTCGTTTCCGAAAAATCCCGGACATCCTGTATAATTCTATTTAATAATTAACATTTACATATGTGTTTGTATAAATACACAGGATATCGCAAAATAACTGCACACAGAGTGCAGAGAAGTTCCTTCCTTTATTAAAACTGGACTGTACGTAAATTTTTATTTAAAAGGAGGAATTAAGAGTAGATTAAGAACCAATTAGGTGACAGTAAAGTCATCGGTTGTTTGTTAGATCGTCAAGTAATTTCTATATTCTTACGTATGCACTTCTCAAGTTTCCTGCAAATCTCCCGAAGCCATCTTCTGAATTGCCAGAAGAAGACAGTCTTCAACGTGATCTTCTTACGTCGCGTCATCCGTGAGCGGTCGTTACCTTTATCAGTTACTATGAAATCGGCGTGAGAAATCGACTCGCACATAAAGCGTTCTCCAAGTGAAAACGTCTCCTCCTTTTTATCGGTATCTTTCATATCTACCAATAGATTTGCTGATGCGCTAATAATCTTCTAGAGCAAATTCTTCTTTGCCTTCCCAACGCCGATGGCGATTAATCGCCCTCGATTTGCCGTCCGTCCGGCAGAAGAAACTTTCCGATAGATTGGAGCAAATTAAACACCAATTAATTCGGATGAGTCCGCACTTCTCGCGAATCTTGTTCGCGTATTTTTGCCGAGAGAACCGCTCACGAGACTGCCCCGGCAATTATGCGTAATTGTCCCGTTCGACAATTAATTGTTATCGGCGATTTAACGATTCCTTATCGCACGTGGGAGAGCGCGTCGAGCGTTCTCAGGCGGATCTTCACTTTAGATTTCGTTCACACGCACACGAGAGAAGACACACGCGGACACGGAGAGGCTGTGTCGTGCTTCTTTCATGTTTCCTCGGTAGCGCACTGACACTCCGGTATCGCATACGTCGGGTCACTTACTCATTCACTCATGAAGTTGCCGTTGCGAGGCACGCGAAGATACTGCCATGATCAACTGACCGGCCGATTGGTCTCAGCAGATGCTGAGAAGACTCTGAGGTGCCGTTAACGTCTTAGGGTGATCGTCTCGAAGGTCCGTCTCGACTTGTCTACTTGCCTATCGCGCAAACAAGAGTAGCGTGATGTTCAGTACATCAGCATAACGTTGACGTGTTCATTTCGGACTTCAATGTCGGAATCGTGTTGTAGTGTTTTTACGATTGTCGCTGGTGTGAGAAAGGCCCTGTGCCCTTGGTCGTCACGATTCGAAAGGCGCAGCTAATCAGAGAAGTATAGAGAGGAATAGAAGGGAAAAGGGTCTCTTGAAAAAGTGGAAAGCAAAATAAGCTTTCTTATGGCGGGAGTCACTGAACGCATACCTTTATGATATATAGACTTGACCTTGAGACTTTTTTTGACCAACTCGGGTCAATTCAGTTTCTAAACTTTCCTTTCCCATAATTTCGCGTATTAGAGAGAAAGAGGGAAATGTTATGCGAAATGTTCGTGAGAGCGCAAACTAGACAGCGTTATTATAAATTTCGTCTTGTGATTGCCCCATAAATTAGATATTGCACCGCATTATCGTTCGCTATAAACACGCTCGACTATGTAGTTGGCGAGCAAATACAGTGATGCGAGGTCGGGAAAAGCGGTCATTATCAGCGCTTTGTCATAATTCGTTCTTTCGTCGAAACGGGTCGAGAGAATCGCGTCATCGCGCGGGGTAAGAAAACTCAGCCATGAATACTTCCGGTCTGACGCATCGTTCGTCGTATGAGACGCGTACCGATTCCTCTTCTCTCATAATATCTCTCTCTCTCTCTCTTTCTCTCTCTCTCTCTCTCTCTCTCTCTCTCTCTCTCTCTCTCTCTCTCTAGCGAACAGATCGTCGCGAATCGACAGTGTCGATTTGACCTTCGATTGAGCTACTTGATCAAACGCATTCTCGCCATTTGTCTCGAGCAAAGGTGAATTTCATCTCTTCTAACGACTTAACTCGTTCACTGCCGCGCTGGTCGCCATTGATCATTCCAATGCTCGAGTAAAATTCGGGCGCCAGTAAAACTCGTCAGAGACACAGTAAATAAGTAAACAAGTAGTTCACTATGAATAAGTAAATAAATAAGCGATTTAAGATGAACATGTTCGCCAGCTCGCTTCATTGACTCTCTGTTGGCTGTGCATGGCGGGAACTTAGTGCTCTTCAGATACAATTGTATCTTTTGCACGCGCGCAATGTTATAGCAACGGCTTGCTGGATTTTAATTTCTTTTCTTCATTCGCCGGTTGAGAACTACGATTCTGCTTCCAACCGTTATCGTTTCTGTTGTTTCGTCATCGCGCTGCAAGATGTATTTACTCCCACAGCAAGGACGATTTTGTTTCTCTCTGATCCGCGGAGCAGCTTAGATGTCCACTGAATTCTGTGCATGAGATATTTCACCCCTACTTAAATTCCATTTGTTCCATTAATTTTTGGTCCATTTAGGTCTATTTAACTTTTTGCATTTCGCTACGTTATATTTTCATTGCGTCAATTTGTTAAACAACAAATAAACGATAAACGCAACAATTTGTTACGTTTCACATGTAAATTGATGAGACACGAGGGTGTTACAACGCCTGTCGGTGACCTCTGTGGCAGTCAATGTATTAATATACAATCATTACATCGACACCCGAAAAAGCTTCAGCTGAACTAGCTGAAACTACAATGAAGAAAATAACAATGTCAGACGCGTTCCCTTTTCGAGAGGATGAGATAACGACCGTAGAAGCGCGCAACTCGCGGCGTATCCGCGTAGCACGCAAGTCAATTTCCGTGTGTTTCCGCTGATAATTGCGGGCAGAAAGAACAATGACGTTACGTTGCACGAACGAACGAACGGACAAATAGACGGACGGGCGGATGGACTCCGTGTTGCGTAATCCGCTGGTTGCGCGACACGGTAATTACGGTTAGAGACGTTTCCTCAAGGTTCGTGGGCGCGTGCGGTCAACGATTCGTGCGTGCATGCACGTGTCTCCATTGTGTTTAGCGTGCACGCATGCATACGCGTGCTAATTCTCTCCGCTGAACGGGCATCTTCGCGAGTCCACGGCGATGTGCATCGCGCAGAGGTCTAAGGTGATGGAAGAAGTATAAGGGGAAAAGACAGAAGGAGCGAAAGGAGGAGGGGGATACCTGAGTTACTCATGTCTTCATTTATTTGCCTCCTCTTATTGGATTATTCCTCCTAATGGTAATATGTATATGAAACGCCACGATGAGGACACGAATATCCGTGGTAAAGCAACAAGATGTTCGGTGCGAAGCTTTAGCTTGGGTTTGTATTTCTATGTGAGTCTCTCCCTATGTTTGTGTATATGTGTGTCGGTGAGTACGTATTCGTTTTTCTTCAAGACAATGAGCTAAGCACTTACACAAAAGCGGGTCGAGTCGCTCCTTGAAGCTCTTGTTCCTCTTGATCCTCTCCACGTCACTCTCGTCTGTGTCCAGCATGGTCTCCCACTCGGAAGGGTCGTACGTGCGATCCTTCCGCGAGTACTCCTCTGATAGCGTGTCCTCGCGCTCCACGTTGCGTTTCTCCACGTTATCGTAGGACGAGTTCCGGTCGCTGTACAGCGTCTCACATGTATTGTCCGGCGGCTTCAGCAGTTCCGGGTACCTGCGGGCGAAAGGTACAAATCTGAGATCGCTTTTGTTTACTCGTGCCACCGTACGAGCGACGATCACGTTCGAATCGTCGACTTCGAATTTCAACGTTTCCACGAAGGACTCGTAGAAGCATTTTTCTTGCTGTTCTTGTAAGTTATTATGGTAGTTTTCTGGTACTCGACGTTTTTTATAGTTATGTATTTAAGTTTGGTAAAAGTTTAATTTTTAGTTATACATCTTATTCTCATATACATTTTTGAAAAATTTATGTTAGGATTTATAATATACATTAAATGCCAGGAGATACTCTGTTAATCAAAACAGTTTCTTCATGGTCTGGAAAGTATTCACTCGTAATCAAAAGAGAATTACTTACGAGGTTGTTACATATGTAAAAAAATATTATTTTTAGAACATATCTAAAATATATAAAAAAATTAATGAAGAACATTTCCATATAAATTAAAACAAATTTCAGTCGGTTTTCATACCGGAAGAATGAAGTATAGAAGAGAAGTATGGAAGCTATCTTGTAATTTCTTGGAGAACGTAAAAGACTCACCGTTGCAGGATGATACTTTGAACGGTCAAAGTGTTCCCAACAATGTCCTTGTTATTGCACTCCTCGTCCGGGAACTTTCTCGCGATTGTGTTGTCGCCCTCGTAGTCAGCATCACAGTCGTAGTCTGGCTCGCAGTCTTCTGTGTCGTTACCTGGTCGAGATTTAAAAAAATCTTTTATATCGAATTAAAAAAAAACATAAAACACACAAAGTTCTATATCGAATTAAAGAAGAAGAAGAAAATGCCACATGTCGAATTAAAAAGAAAAGAAGAATACAAAGCTTTATGACAAATTGAAGAAGAAAAAAATGAGACTCTATATTGAATTACAAGAGCAAGAAAAATACACTACGTCGAATTGAAATGGAGGAAATCAGAATAAAAAAAGAGGAACGTGAGGCAAATTGATTCAATGAGAAGAATTCTCGTCCAGAAGAAACTAAGAATTTCTTCGTCAAAGAAATCTTTCGCTCGAGACTTTTCGTACCGCCACGTATTGTGAAGGCACGCGACGAGAGAAAGTACCTATAAATTCCCAGCTGGAGTCCACCGCCCACGAGGTGTCGTTGAAGACCTTCGTCCTGATCTTGGGTGGCTGCACGGGTTTCGCTCGCGGTATCTTCTTCGTCTCTCTGGCGCCGTGGAGGCGCTTCGCCAGGTTGTCGACCGACGATGAGATCAGCGGAGTTTTGTCTTCTGTCTCCTCGGGCTCTTCCCAGTCGATCGGATGCAGCAGCTGGTTCCCGTTGTTCCCAGTCGGCGTTTGCAGCCAACCGGGCTCGCTGTGTCTGTATTTGTTCGTCGCTGGATTTCCTCTTGGCGTTCTCCTTCGCGGAATTATAGCGGCACCTTGCGAGGTGACGATCGCGTCCGCCGGTTCCGCATAGAACGGACTACTCTGCTTAGACTCAGGTGTCTGCGGACTATTGCTCTCTGACTTGGCGCCTAGCACCAGGCCCAGTTTGTTCCGTGGCGGCGTCACCGTGCTCGGGCTGTTCAACGAATTAGCACTGCCTGTGGGAATAAGTTCGTAATCAGACTGAATATTGTAAGTCATGTTTGTAAAGTCATATTTGTTGTACCTGATGTTGCTTTAGAAGGTTGATATTCATTATTATTTAATCTTTATTTATATCTTATATCTTATATATGTCTTTATTTTTATACTTTATTTAATCAAATAAAGGAAACAAAGGGAACAACCAAGGTTGACCGTTGGGACGTTCGTAGCGAAGTTATTGAAGATGAATTGTCAAAATTTCAAAAGGAAACCAACTCAGGCCGATCAGTTAGAAATTAAGATATTATTGGGTTGGCAACTAAGTGATTGCGGATTTTAAATAAGAATGAAAATTCAAAATTTTAAATTTGCTTTTTTAAATTTTTTTCAATGCATGTATGCGATACATTGAGCTTCTCTGCAATATCACGTGTTGTGCTATGACGATCTGAATCGACAATGGCCTTGATATGGGTCTCATCGACTTCAACTGGACGGCCAGATCGTTGAGCATTTTTCAATGAAAAATCACCAGAACGAAGTCTGGCAAACCAATTTTGACACTGCCTTTCTTTCAAGGCTTCATTCCCATATACGGCACATAACTTCTTGTGTGCTTGCGATGCGTTCTTGCCTTTTCGGAAATAATACAATAAAATATGTCTAAAATGCACGTCTTGCTCTTCCATTTTTAAATTGGGATAAAAACAAAACTAAACAACTAATTGATATAATTTTTGTACTAAATGAAAGGTAGAAGTCCAAACAATAAGAAAAAATATAGGTTAGGTACTTTGAACACGTTAACGAAACAAAAGAAAGTGTAGAATCCATCTGTCGATAAAATCCGCAATCACTTAGTTGCCAACCCAATAGAAGGAAGATCATCAGATAAGAAAGCTTGAACATTAGAAACGTCATTATCGCTTCATTTCTTCGAAAACTATATAAATAAACGATTTGGAGAAATTAGCCGATTGGATTAAGAGAAACATTCCACTAATTTTACTGTTTTCTTCCGGAGTGACATTTTCGTAATTTCCCTTTTTTGTTGTCTCTTGGTTACTTTGCAGTTATTCACTTGACACTTATCTGTCAAACGAATTTTTAACTTGAAATCGGCAAGGATCTTTCATGCAAGTTATGGCGATAGCCTTTTTGGGTAGCTATGGCATATTGCTCATCGATTATTTTCAGAAAGGAAAAACCATCACTGGCGCATATTATGTATCATTATTAGAACGTTTGAGGGAAGAAATCGCAAGAAACGATTGCATTTGAAGAAGAAAAAAGTGTTTTTTCGCCAGGACAACATACCAGCTCACACATTTGCAATCGTCATGGCCAAACTACATGAATTACGCTACGAATTTTATTCCCAAGCATGAAGAAATGGCTGAGAGGAAAAAAAATTCGTGACCAATGAGAAAGTGATTGCCGTTATAAATCGAGTATTTTGCAGAACTTAGCTCAACTTACTTTGTTGAGGGAATGAAAGGACTAAAAAAAGAGATGGATAAAATATATCGAGCTGAAAAGAGACTATATTGAAAAATAATCCGTTTTGCCCGAAAATATAAGTAAAATATATAAGTTCATTGTTAGGCTCAAAAATTATCAAACAACCTACCTACTTCGAGTAGTTAGTCATTAACATGTTTGTTGTCAACGTCACACATATGTGATGTATCGATCTCACACATGAGAGACCAGCGTTATATGATAGCGCTTTTTTTCTTTCTATGCTATATGAACTGAATCTGTTTTACTTTATTATATATAAAAAAGTACAAGATGAGCTGTTAGGAAGATTTTTATATGGATTGTAGTGGAGAAGGTGTGTGAACGACCTGGACGATTTGAAGAGGTAATTGAGAAACTTCGAAGTGTAGGTCGAATCGAGATGAGAAAGTGCACTCACAAACTCTGGATAGCAGATCGGGCCGCTTCCCCATGCCGGTCTCTTCAGGCGAGCCTTGATCGGCGGGACTTTTCAGCTCCGGCGCGGGCTTGAAACTGCTGAGCTCCGGACTAGTCGTCTCCTTGTAGCTCAGCTTGTCGCTCCTTAGGATGAACCTGTCGTTCCTCAGGACTTGCATTTGCTCGCCTGGCAGACGATCGTTCAAGCTCCTCTCGCCGGGGCTCACGATCCTCTCGTGCGCCGTCATCAGTCGGTCGTTCGAGCTCCTCAGACGGTCCAACGGGGTACAAGCGATCCTGTTGTTGTCTTTGGACGACGAGGACTTGGTGTTCTCGTTGGGCGACCAGGTCGAATGGTTCGACTGATCTGTCGTGTTCCAGATGTCCTCATAGTCGGAGATCTTATCAGCCGGCGAGCTGCGATAATACGAGTCCAGGATATCCGACTCCTGGTAGTGCTGCGAGTTCTTGCGGTTCTCGCGATCGCGACGTCTCTTCGACTTGCTAGTGCTGGAGTTGGGTGTGTTCGGCGAGAGGACATTGGATGTCTTTAGACCGCTGGCGTTCAGTGGGTTTGGTACTAGCTTGGACGTGGGTGACAAAACTGGGGTCGTGGGTGAGAGCGGTGACTTGATCCCAGAGAAACTAGATGTCAGCGACTTGCAGGAGGTCGCGCTCTGCGGGCTCAAGAGCGACGTATTGGGATCCGATGGCGTGTTTTGCTGCCGACAGAAGAGCAACATAAGCGTCTCGATCGATAGTTGTCCGGACGGATTTCTCTCTTTTCATACTTGCTTCTCGACGAATTACTTATTTTTCGTACGCTTGTTTGACATCTTTCAAGCTTTTTGAGATGTGGAGAAACCATGCAAAATTATTTTTACTAAGAATTATAAAAAAAATTCAAAGTTCATGCGCTCGCCAATCAAATAAGACTACCACCGTAAAAACATTACAATGAAATATTTAAACTTGTATTCCTTACAGAAAGGAAGATGTTGGAAAGTTAGACCAAACAAAAAAGTAATTCCTGCGAAAATGCCAACATTATGTTGCCAACAAAATGTTGCACTAATAGGACGCAAACAAATATTACGCATTAAAATGTTTTATACACAAACACCGAGAACTAATTTCAATGTCACCATTTTTGCAGGAATTGTTCTCACACCCGGTGTAACTTTCTGTCGGAGTTCTCCGAGTAAGTGATACAATAAAAATCGCGATGCACTGATAAATCGAGATATGCCGGTCGTGTCGATCATTCGAGGTGAGGGAAAGACGAAGAATTTTCGATGAATAGGTTTTCCGAGTGATCGGCAGACGATAGTCGTCTCCTCGATAAAGAGAGAGGGCTATTGTTTTCGATAATTAAACGAGATAATTTTAATGGAGCTCTCACGCGGCAATTCCGAACGGGAACGCTTGCCCATTCATTTTACCTGCGAGGTGTTCACGTCATTGGTTGTCTGGTTCACGTTGAACGTCACCGTGGTGGTCACTGTGAAGTTACTCTGGCTCTGACTGAAGCCCGGCTTCGCCCACCTCGGCGGTGGCGGCGGCGGCGTCTTCACACACTGCGTTGCGCCCTGATGATTTTCGGCGACGACGTTCCTGATGTCGGGCGGCAACACGGGCGACGTCGTGCACGACAGGCTTTGGCTCTGATGATGATGATGGAGGTGATGCACGCTCATGGTCGACGTGGACGTGCTGGAGAAGGTCTTGCTGCCGCTCCTGCCGGCGAACTCTGTGCCGTTCTTCAGGGTGTCGAAGCTACCGCTCTTCGAGTCCTGCGCCGGGCTCAGCACGTTATTCTCTACGTTGTGCACCACTGGCGACGGGCACCGTACGCTCTGCACCAGATTCGGTGAGATTAGCTGCTGCGACAACTTGTCCGACGGCGACGATGGTACACGTTGCTCCCTCCGCGTGTCCAACGGCTCGTTGAAGGTCGTTAGGTTCAGGGTGTTGGGCGGAGTGGGTCGTGGTTGACGTAGCAACGACGACGCGACGAACGTCGAGGTCGTCATAGTGTTGGTGGTCGGTGACGATGTGCCTGCATTCCGACGGGAATATGTTACGCCCGTCGGCTGACGGATTATTTTCGGCCGGATTTTCGGACGAAGCTACTCGTGGCGAGGAATTTGCTCTCTCTCTCTCTCTCTCTCTCTCTCTCTCTCTCTCTGGCGGATTTTTGGAAATTTCAAATATAGATGTGGGTCGCGCGTAAAAAGAGAGACTTGCACCGAGTGTCCGAGTAATCGATGCCGAGAAAAATATAGAAAAGATAAACAATTTTAACAAAAAAAAAAAGAAAAATACAAATTTTTTAAATAAAAAGAAACATTTTGAGATTTTCGTAAAAATACAAATGAAAATGTAGATCCATAAAAGATTTTCTTTAATCTACGTTGTATCACGTGCGATAGTACAGATTGTAAAGTCAAGGAATACGATTTTATCTTCACGAAGTTAAGGCTACTGCGATTCTTCATGAAGAGAGAATATCGATCTTATTTCCATTTCCACCGTCTCGTCAATTTTTTATTGCCGTTTTTATTTTCTTCCAATTTAAACCTATAGTCTCCTCTTTTTCGTTTTACTATTGTATATTTTATTTTTTATTAATATTAATTGATGCAATATTTTTTTATAAAAAATTATAAAATTATACAAAAATTTTGCAGAGATTATTCCACTCTTGGTTATTTTATGTGTGGATATTACAGATAGGTATGTCGATAGATAGTGCACCTATTAATTATGCCGAGTCGTTAAGCAATCAACTATCAACGTAACAGCCACTGTGCGAAGAAGCACGCAAGGAGCAGCTATAAGAATGGTGAAGCAAGGCAGTCAATGTCTCACTTACGCGTATCGTGGGATGATATCGGCGCGAGATTCAGCACTATGCTCTCCGTAGTCGGTGTGTCGGCGTTATTGTTGTTGTTGCTGTGATGATGGTTATTGTTACCTGCGGAGAAAGGATACACGCAATAAATATCCTTGTTTCGCGCGCTGTCAGCGAATAGTGATAAACAGCGTAACTCGCGGTATAGTCGAGAATCTAAGAACTCGTTGGCTTTTGTCTTGAATTAGTGATGTTTGTCAGATACTCGAGTCCTTCGGATATCTCTTCGAATACTCATATGACCGGTTAATTTACAAGTTATTCGGATATTCATACAATTAGCGTGTCGATAGTATTTTACCTTAACTTTAGAAATTTATTATTGGTTGTAATAAATCGGCCAGTAATAATCAGTAATTTTATTAGTCGTATGAGTAATAAAATTACTTGATCACCAGTCATTTGCCATTATATTAATTTCCACAACAGTTGATTACTTATACTATAATATGTAATCTTATATTTTATTCTTTAAGGTACTATATTCTACCCTTATAGAAATTTATTATTGGCTGTAATAAATTGGCTAGTAATAGGTAGTATTACTTATACAAGTAATAAAATTATTTATTACTACTAGCTAATTTATTACAGTCAGTAATAAATTTCTGTAAAGATAGAATATAATACCTTAAAAATGAGTAATAAAATTACTCGTACGAGTGATAAAATTATTTATTATCACTGGCCAATTTATTACAGCCAATAATAAATTTCTGTAAGAATAGAATATAGTACTTTAAAAAATGAGATATAAGATTGCTCATTATGAGTAACCGGCTGTGGTGGAAATTAATAACAAATGACCGGTAATCATCCGGGTACTAATTGTGGTTTTTGCCTCCGGAGATATCTGAGTATATCCCGTTAATTTGCATGTTACCCAAGTAATCCTTCGAACAAAGACATAAGAGTGGATGATGCGAAATCAACTATTGCGGAAATTAATAACACATACGTACACGTGTCTCAAAGTTGCGCTAAGGGAAAAATAAAAAAAATCCTACGAACGAGCCGAATTTTCGCGGTTTCTAGCCAGACTTCGCCGTTAACTGTTTCCGCGGTATTTCACATTGCTCAGTCGGGGAAACTCACCGCCGTGGAAACTGCTGAGACTGGACGTGTTGCTGCTGCTGCTTTCTGCAGGTGGTTTCGGATTCGCCATGGGATAGCGCCAAAACTCCTGGCCCAGCAACGCGAGCGACGACAGTTGCTGCCTGTTCTTCGCTTCCCGCATCGCCCGCGGCAACGTCAGTTGCACTGGCAACTCGTCACTGCTTGCCGCGAACAGAAACAGACCGGTCGATTTGAGTTACCGAATTCAACCGAGGGGAGTTCTTTCTCTTTCTTTCTCTCTCTCTTTCTCTCTCTCTCTCTCTCCCCTTTTCTTTTTCATACAATGCAACCTTCGTTCATATAGTTAATACACAGGGTATGCGGTAAACTGCGGTGTAACCGCGAGAGGGTGATCGCTCGTGTATGGACGAGCGAAGAGTGCGGAATAAATTTCTGACCGTTCGTCACACGGATGGCTTCTTCACGTAACGATCAAACAGAACTTGCAATATTCATCATCATATGTGGATATACTGGACGAGACCGAAGTTCTGTTAAAAAAATTTGATTGACGTACAGCCAAATACTAATAGAAAATTCTAATAAATATTAAACGCTTTGAAGACTATCACATTTTGAGAAAAGTCGCTTTTAAATATTAAGCTTTTAAAAAATTTATCATACGCCAGGCTTTGACATTGTCATGAAAAATACAGTGAATGAAGGAATCTTATCAATCTCATCTTATTAACCTTTTAATCCTTTATCTGATTTTCTATTGTGTAACGTAAATAAATTGACTGTATATTGTCGATTTATCATATCTATGAGTAAGTAAAATATTGTTTCTGCATTCTCTCTCTTTCTCTCTCTTTTTCCTGATTTCTAATATTCGTTTTCCTACATCGACAATGCGGGGTGAATACAATTTTTTATTATAGTTTTGAGGTCTAATGCGTGTAATTTTAAAGTCTAGTACAAGTCTGCAGGATTTTGTCGCAGGAATCCAGGAATTTTTGAATCCATCCTGCATTTCCGTTTGTTCATATTTCTTCACATTTGATTAATGCAAAAGATTCGCCGTCTTCAAATTTTGACTTTACCAAATGTTAACGATGGATCAAACGATGGTCCAAATTAAGGACGCATTTGTTAGGTGGCTGAGAATGCGTTAAGTTCGTATTGTTTATTTTATCTATAAAAATTATTGACCCTTCGAAAAATGGGATAATTTCATGTTCAACTTGATCAGATAAGAACAACGAAACTTTCACGTCAGTCTAATGTTTCTCAGAGGTGTGATAATATACTATTTGGTGCTAAAAAGACGTTTTATTTTCATAATAGACCATCGACGATTCACTTTATAATCCTAAGGTGAAATTAGCAAGATGCCAAATAAATTCACCCTCCTACAGACGGGTGCGATTGGTCGCGAGCGGAGTAAACGCGAAGGGCGAGGAAGAAAACGGGGGCACTCACCAGCATTGCGAGTAATGGGCGATCAGCGAGGGTATGTTGTCGAACCTGTTCTCGCTGGTCTCCAAACTCAGTTTCCCCTTATTCGCCTGGATCAGGTAGTGCTCGATGTAAGGCCCTTTGCCGGCTGGCAGTCTCACGGAGAGCGCCATTGTGTCGCTTTGGCTTGACTGTCGCACCACGAAGTTCTGCGACAAATCGAAAAATGAGATCCTTATTTGTCTGATTAAATAGTAAAGAAAGTAATTATTAGCTTGAAATGATCACGTCTAACATCTGTAGTCGGCCTTTACTTGGTCGTTTACTTAAACATTTTCGTACGTTATACCATGTGAAAGTCGATACGTATCATAATTATTATTATTGTTAAATTATTCTTTTCGAGAAGCTGTATTTTTTAGTACATTGTCTGGTTGTACGATTTTAATATTATTCAATAGGAAAATATTTATAAAATTATATGACGAAATTTGAATATTTGTAAAGCTGCAATAATATGGTTATATTAAGAAAAAAATACAAATAAAAATATCGTTCTGTTATAAAATATTGACTCTGCGTAACTAATTCTAAAATAATTTCAGAAAAAGAAAAAGAAAATATAGTAACGGTATGGCGAATTACTTTGCAAATTATTTGAAAGGTATGAAAAGGGTTTAAAAGATTTGAAAATTAAATTTGAAAGATAATTCTTGACAAATAATAGAGAAATATGTCACTATTATTTTTAAAATATTTAGACATATAATTGTGTATAAAAGAGTAAAATTAATTCATACACATGTTTGTAAAAACTAGAGATGTGCGAACTATTCGAATTCGAATCGAATTGAATCGAATCAAATTTAATGTAATTCGATTCGATTTAAATCCGAATCCCTATGATTCGAATCCGAATAATTCGAAAATTTCGAATCGCGAAGATTCGGATACGAATCAAATAAATTAGTGTTTGCACGCATCAGCTACAAAATCGGCCATCTGGGCATGTATGCTTGAATCCTTAACTTATAATTAACTTAACTTATAATTAATGACTTAATTATAAATTACTTTAAATATTTAAATATATATTTTACTTTAATATGCTATTACAATAGCAATATTCCCTATCATATTAAAATCTTCCATCATTATTTGTATGTTTAATAGTCATGTTAAATTTTTTAATGATTCGATTCGATTCGAATTAGAATGAAATTTCATAGATTCGGTTCGATTCAAATTCAAATTTAAAAAATGAGATTCGATTTGATTCAATTCGACATAAAAATTCTTAATTCGTACATCTCTAATAAAAACACAATTAAAGTTTTAAATAACGAATCAAATGGTTTAAGAAAAATAAGTAAATAATATCAATAAGCAAATACGAAGTTTATTTAAATACTTATCTGTAAGCTATTTATATAAAATTTTCTCTCTTTTTCATTTAAATCAGCGGACATTTAATTAATTTGCTAATTTGAATTAAAATATTTTACTTGAAAATACTGTAAACATCAGGATATAAACATCATAAAATGTTATTGTTACATTACATAGTGAAAAATTATTATGTATATGTGAAATTTATTATTTTACTTTTTTAACTATTAGAATTATTTTATAATGTTTATATCCTAAGAGACAACTGCATGCTATCGATATTTTAGGAACGTTGTTTTACTTATCTTTATTAGATTCTCTTGCACTTTCAGATTATGAATTTCAATATGACTTTCGATGAAGTAGATATTTCTCTATAGTCCTTCGTATAAAATTTGATACTTTTTTCTTATAAATTTACGAACATGCGAAGTTAACGAGACTGCAAACTTCTATATAGGAGCTTGCACATTGAGAAGTTTGAGAGTTGTTTTTAAATGTACACGATGTATCAAAGTAATTTATGAACAAGAGTATCAAAGAAATGTCGAGAGAAAATGCCACAAACTTCGTGCAAATAACTCTAATAACTTTATCATTTTCTGAATCTGTTTGAAATTTAACCACTTTCCAAATTTCGGCATTTTAATTTTTGAGACAATGTTCGTCCATCGATGAGTCCGTCTGTCCGAAACTACTTCCAAACGACGCGGATTTTTCCGTCGAATCCGCAGGCTCTTTCGGTAACGAGAGAATTCGCGCTTTGTCATTATGCGGCCGGTGTTTCGACGGATAAGGGACGAAGATACAGTGATGTCTGATCTATGAACGAGTAATTGTAAGCTGCATTGTTTTTCGGCGGTACAATTCTTTCGTTAGCCACCGTTGTGCAGACTTGCTGCCCGAAGGGAAGAGGAGAAGGTTGCAAAGATCCATCAGTGAAGGGGTGGAAATGACGAAAGGGAGGAGGACGGGGCGCAACCAACGACGATCAACAAAGGCGTAAAACAATGAGTCGCCTGGGGAGAAACAATGCCCCGGTCGCTCACTCGCAGTCATTTCCGCGCTGATTACAACGTGGGAGGGAGACTTTGTGCGCGCCATTACGCGTTACCGACAGAAAAAAAGGAAACGAAAAGGAAAAAAGTAAATGCGGAGACGTCGGGCGTCTTTCGTCGCGTTCGTCTCATTAATCTCGACGGGGTTTATATTTCGCGATTGTCGAGACTGTATCTCTCTCGCTTTTCGCGCAAGTAGCATACATCCAAATCCCTGAAGATTAGTAAAGATGCGCGTTGAAGACGGACTTTCTAAAATCTGTCCTACATCATGCATATATTTATCGTATATTTTTTTAATTCTTTTTTAATTCGGCTGATGCTAATCTGGGAACAATAAACGCTACGGCCGGGACTTCTTTCGCGTCAATTTTAAACCAAACGGAAGTTGCGCCAAGCATAATTAAGCATAGCACTTTAATTTTCTGCTTTCGCTAATATAATGACATATTTGCATTTTTCTCAAATGCATGTTATAATATATTCATACAACGATTAGTTTGTAGATAAATTATAAAAAACCCTAAAACTTTAATGTCATGTATAATAATGAGGTGAATTAAAAATTTCTTTTTACATGGTATAACTCAAAACATCAATTAATATAGAGATCTGTATCGTAAAATCGTAAGAAACCCGAAAGAAAGACATTAAACGAAGTTTGTCGAGCAATTAATATTGTATAGTTCTCTTGGCTATTGTGCGACAAAGTTTACGATACGTTGTGATTTACATAAATAGATGATATTGGCGATAATGTTCCTTTTCTTAAGATTAAGATTAAGATAGCTTGCAATAGATTATTGCGATAAACATCGAAAGAGATAATCTTAGACAGAGAGAATCTTAAGAGATAGAGATAAGTCTCGTCGTGGGAGATCTTCGTCCGTTCATCCGCGCGCGACAGGAAGAGACTCGTTTTAAAATTACTTTCCCTTTGAACTTAAAACCCTTGAAACGGGTTTGAGAATATCTACCTTTAGCAATATACAATCTTTAAGTATATTTTCTTACCCCTTCCTCCTTGCCTTGCAACAAGTGAAAGGCGCCGGCCCTCTGGATGCCCGGAAGGAACCAGATCGGGTGAGAGCGGATGAGCCTCTCAATCAGCGTGATGTCGCAGGCCACCTCGCTGCCAGAATCTTCCGTGGACGCCGAAGATCCTCCCGAGGTGGCCGACCCTTCCGACGAGAGCGATTCTTCGCTCTGGAAGAGGACGAAATCACTGATGAACGTAAAGATCGCAGTTTGTCGATTAAAATCGTTTCTCTCCTTCTCCCCCTCATATATGAATGTCTGATAACTTAATTCTAATAATCTAGTAAACAAACTAAAGAACCAATTCTAATAAATAAGGATTTTATTTTTTCTCTCGCTCTCTCATTTTCTTTTTAACATATGTAACAAATATGTGGGTTGTTCAAAAAATCATTGCGTTTTTTCCGGTGATTTTCAAGACCGTTTATTTTATACAAAGAATGAACATTAATCAATGATGTATTGCCCTTCTTGTTCGATGACCTTCTGCCATCTTTCGGTAAGCTTCATGATTCCATTCTTGGAAAACTTCCTATCTGTACTAGCGAAAGACTGAACCAAGTGCCTTTCGATAGCGTCATCTGAAGCAAACGCTTTTCCACTCAAGGAATTTTGCAAAACCCGAAACAAATGGTAGTCTGATAATGCGAGGTCTGACGAATATGGTGGATGAGACAACATATCCCAATCAAGCTCCAACAATTTTTCGCGAGTCATCAAACTTGTGTGTGTGATCAAGCGTTGTCACGATGGAAGACTACTCTTTTGTGATTTATCAATTATAAACCACTTTTCCGCGATTGCTTCGTTCAATTCGTCGAGTTGTTGACAGTATATGTCCGAAATGATTGTAACATTCCTTGTTAAGAGCTCGAAAAACAGCACATCCCTCTAATCCCACTAGATTGAGAGAATAACCTTTCTCTGGTAAATGTCTGCTTTTGACGTGCTTTGAGCCGGCTCATCGCGCTTGCTCCACGATCGCTTTCGCTTCAAATTGTTGTAGACAATCTAGTTTTCATCGCCATCAATCATGCGTTTCAAAAATGGGTTTGAATTGTTCACGTTTCAAAAATTGATCGCAGATGTTTTATGAGATGAACTTCTTTCAGTTCGTGCGGGACCCAAACATCGAGCTTACTGACGTAACCAAGTTGTTTCAAATGAAGGTAAACGCTTCCAATCAATATTTTTAGTGCTTCAGCGAGCTCACGAATGATAGGACTAGATCGATTAGCTTCATCTAATGCCTTTATTTTATCATCATCAATCTCCGATAGCCGACCTGAGCGAGGTACACTTTTCACGTTGTAGTCACCAGAACGGAAACGAGCAAACTAATATTGACACTGGCGTTCTTTTAGGGCTTCACCATAAACTTTACGCAGCTTTTCACAAGCTTACATAGCATTCTTTCCTTTTCGGAAGTGATCAAGTAAAATTTGGCGAAAATGCTCGTATTGACTTTTTATTTCCAAAACGTTATAGAAAGATAATTGTTGATCGACTCGCGCACTTTCTTCCTTAATAGAAGCTATAAGTGTCAGCTGTCAAACGCGTATGAACTCATGAATTTATAAACGCGTCCAATATATTAAATATACAACTAAAGCCATCTATCGTAAATAAACGCAATGACTTTTTGGATAACCCTATATATATATATATTTTTTTTATTTTATATTATTCTCAACTAGAGATTTATTCGAACTATTCGAATTCGAATCGAATCGAATCGAGTCTAATGTAATTAGATAGAATTCGATTCGAATCCGAATAATTCGAATAGGAATCAAATACATTATCGTTTGCGTACATCAGCTACAAAACGGGCCATCTGGGCCTGTTTGGTATGTTTGATCCTTAACTTGTAATTAACTTAACTTATAATTAATAACTAATTATAAATTACTTTAATTATTTAAATATATATTTTACTTTAAGATAATATTACAATATCAATATTCCCTTTCATATTAAAATCTTCCATCATTATTTGCATGTTTAATAGTCATGTTAAATTTTTTAATGATTCGATTCGATTTGATTCGACATAAAAATTCTTGATTCCCACATCTCTATCCTCAACAAATATGTTGATTTTTCCGAAGCGCATCGATTACGGACCAATTTTAATTTCGTTCGTGTCTTCGACAACAGGATGGCAACTAATTTGATCAACAACAATTTGTGCATACAAGCGCAAATCTCCCGCGAGTTCCATCTATGAAAATCTCAAACGGCTGCGGCTCTCATTTTCGCCTTCAGATGGCTATTATTATCGCCATTTTATCGTAAATCGCTCGGATTTTCGACAATTTGCCGCCGTTGCGAATATAGGAAAATCTCCGTCTCTTAAGCCGCGGGGCATAAATCCCCCCTTGTCCAGTCGTCGGGTGAGCTACGCAGCACAATGCAACCCCTAATTCCGCATTATACTACCGGGTGGTCGACTCACGCTCAGTTATCTCAATTTGCAGAGCCGATGCCCGGTTGCGCGATTTATTTATCACTCCCCACCAGTCCCACTCATCCTCTCGCTTATTCTCTTCCACTTCTTCCCCCTCAACTCTCTTTTACGGCCCGGAGGAGTGCCATAGAAAGCGATAATCGAGCGTGTTTCCCGCCTCGAGGGAGCGGGAGAGACGTTACATCGTGAGGAAGATTAAGCATTCAGAGAGAAATTGAGCTCGATTCGCGGATTGCATCTCCTCGATCTTTCCGATCGATACCGACCGAACGGCACGCAATTTTTAATTTCGATTCGACGTGAAACACGTCTCTCTCTCTTTTCCTGTTTATCATGCTCCGTATCGATGAAAGGGGATGAAAGCAGAGATCGATGACGGACGAAGCGGAACAGAAAGCGCGAGACCGACATAGGAGGGTTAAAGGGAGAAGGTGAGAGAGAGGGGGGCGGCTTCGGAGTAAAGGGGTTCGAGTATAATTTAATTTGAAATGCAGACTGACACACGCCGGCGTTTCCGACTAAAGGGATTAAACGCGGACGTGCGTCGCGTGCTGAGCACTTATTCCTCTGTTTATTTGAGCGAGAGAGAGACAGAGAGAGAGAGAGAGAGAGAGAGAGAGAGAGAGGAGAGAGAGAGAGGGGAGAGAGAGGGAGGAGAGGAGAGAGGAGAGAGAGGAGAGAGAGAGAGAGAGAGAGAGAGAGAGAGAGAGAGAGAGAGAGAGAGAGAGAGAGAGAGAGAAGAGAGAGAGAGAGAGAGAAGAGAGAGAGAGAGAGAGAGAGAGAGAGAGAGAGAGAGAGAGAGAGAGAGAGAGAGAGAGAGAGAGAGAGAGAGAGAGAGAGAAGAGAGAGAGAGAGAGAGAGAGAGAGAGAGAGAGAGAGAGAGAGAGAGAGAGAGAGAGAGAGAGAGAGAGAGAGAGAGAGAGAAGAGAGAGAGAGAGAGAGAGAGAGAGAGAGAGAGAGAGAGAGAGAGAGAAGAGAGAGAGAGAGAGAGAGAGAGAGAGAGAGAGAGAGAGAGAGAGAGAGAGAGAGAGAGAGAGAGAGAGAGAGAGAGAGAGAGAGAGAGAGAGAGAGAGAGAGAGAGAGAGAGAGAGAGAGAGAGAGAGAGAGAGAAGAGAGAGAGAGAGAGAGAGAGAGAGAGAGAGAGAGAGAGAGAGAGAGAGAGAGAGAGAGAGAGAGAGAGAGAGAGAGAGAAGAGAGAGAGAGAGAGAGAGAGAGAGAGAGAGAGAGAAGGGGAGAGGTAGAGTGAAGGACGGAAAGAGCGAACGAGCTAATTGCAAATCCCTTAATTGCTCGTCAGAAAAAGTCGACCGCGTCGTGAGACGTCGTCGCGTGCTCCTCGACGCGTCCGTTTCGTTCTGAATGCAAAGTGACTCGCGCGTATTCTCCAGCGATGGCCGGCTCGTAGCGAGGCGCGCGGGCGCACATTGCATCGCGTGTTGAGGCGAACTTGCCCGGCTCGCATCGTGATTGTCGTCGCGCATGAGAATATGAAAACAATTACGTCCTTCGCCCGACGGCGATGCAATTAGGCGCGAGCGTGCTAATCGCCGCTGTCGTTAAAATTGAAAACACGTCGTTGATTTCGCGCAGAACGAAGAAGAGCCGTCTCGCTGCGGCCCCGCAATGAGGAGGATATAACGCGCGCGCGCGCGCGCGATCAATAAACCCGGAAAATGGAGCAAAACACAGCGCGAAACGGCGCAAAATGTAACGATGTAAAGCGGCCGGAATGAAATCCTAGGGAAACCGGAAAATAATGAAATCATACGTCGGTGTATCGATTTCCCCGTCGCCGCCAAGCCAGACGTTGAAATTCATATTTTTTGACATTTTTATAAACGCGCGTCTCCATACTTGCCTCCCCCCTCCCCTCCCGCTCTTCTGCTGCTCGCCCCGCGCGCGCAATTACAATTTTCCCTTTGTGTCGGCGGACAAAAAAGAACCTTTCACGTCGCGTTATTATATTTGCCGCGTATGTTTGTGCCTCTGTGGCTCTGTGTAATTCTAGAAACAAAAACTTTCACTTTGGGCACGGGGGGCGGAGACGGGGGCGAGGGGTGGGGGGAGGGGCGGGAGGGGAGAGAGGGCGACGTCGCGAAATTTAATATACCCGCTGCTGGCCGCGTGCGTATTTAAATTGCACGTTACGGTAACGCTTAATTAAACTCGATATTTCGGTGCGACGGAGTGGCGGCGCGCGGATACCGCCGTATGCATGCAAATGTTATCAATTAGTCCAACGGTCTATTTCCGTCGGCGAAGCGATTCGCGAATGATCATTAGCGAATGCAGCAGCGACACTCTACCGCTGCTCCTGCTGTTGCCGCGAATCTGTGCGCGCGTGATTATTATAGTCGCGGGTCGTTATGCGAACAAACGACGTTACGCTGTCGCTTATACGATCGTCCGTCTCATTATTTGCCCATCTCCTCCCCCTGCACTTTTACTCGTTCTCTTTAATCTCGGCACCGGCGCTGCTAGTGGAGTAACTCACCTGTACATGATGTAGCTGCGCAAGTTGACGGTGCTGCAGCGGATTCGGCGGCGGCGTGCTCGGCGAGTTGACGACCTGAACGGTTCCGTGCTGCTGCAGATACGGTTCCAGGAAGACATCGCTCCTGCAACACGGCAAAGGCGCCGAGAGGCGCGGGGAGTTAATAAAAACTGCGTGTTGCCGTCACCATGCTCGCCTCGCGACTTGTCGGGAGAGAGAGAGGGAGAGAGAGAGGGTGAGGATAACGGGAAGGTGAGGAGGCAAGGGAGAAACGAAGAAATTACCCCCGCCGCGTCCCTCGTCAATTAGACCGGGCCGGGTTTACGACGGGTTTACGACGTGGTGCGGCCGCCGTTACGCAAATGTGGCACGCTGCTGGTTTTCCCACGCGAGAAGGCGCCCACACGCGCCCCGATAACGCATCGGCCCGGCAGGCAAGCGGGCGGGCCGGCCGACCGGTGCACGCGATCAATCGTTGCGACCCGCTGCAACTGCGATCGCAGCATTCGTAGCTGCTGCAACTGGGTCGCGCGCGCGGAACCGCTGCGAGTTAGCAGGCGAGAACCTGCGATCGATCTCGCGCGATCCCGATTTCATCGGTGCGAGTTCCTTATCGGCTGTCGAGTGTGACGGGGTGGCTAGACGCCTTCGAGCGGATCCAAGGATGGAAATGCCGGTTTTTCCATCTAATTTAGCTCGAAAGCCCGGAAGTCGCGTGTGGATGCGGGCGGGCGCGCACACGAGCGTTTCTTACGCTCTCGAAGTTTGAAAGGCGCCATGAAAGAACCAGCGAACAAAGCCCCTCCCCCCGCCGCGCCGGTGGTCCCCTCTGCTCGCGCGACACTCGGTATATGTCGATGGCGAGAGTTCTCGTTATTATGGAGGAAGAGAAAATTGCGTCGGGAGGGAAAATTCAGAAAGCAGTGATCGCGTACACTCGCCTTGTGAATCGGTCCTCTCGAGGGATTTCATTGGAATTACGCACGGCACCCGTGGCTTGGCTCCAATTGGCTCGTTCGCCTTACATTGATTGAGTGACTTACGATTTATACAAGAATTATACAGGGTGTTTCAGGCCACCCGTCCACCCTGATTTTTGTCACAATTGGAATCATACCAACTCTTGTCTGAAACATTTTTCTCTAAAATGTCGCGTTTTCGAAAAAATATCTAAAACAATATTAGGCAATTAAAAAGATACTTCAGACAAAATTTGTTCAAAATAATTGGTAGAAAAAATTATATAATAAAAAATTGGGGTCTCCGTTTAAGAAAAGTAATGATCAGTGAATATCTCGAAAGTGGCGCCATCTGTAAACAAGATGATATAGTTGTTTTATATCCTCTTTGAAACTATATAATTTTTGTCTGAAATGTTTTTTAATACTTTCATATTTTTCGAGATTTTTGCCTGGTACTTTTAAAATGGGACACTCTGTATGTATATATATATATATATATAATTATATAATTATATTAAAAAAATATTGATCACGTATATATATATAAAGTGTGAACATATAAAAAGTAGTAGAGGATATTCGGCTCATATTGGTTTCTCTTTTCTTCTTTTTTTATTAAATATTATTTTAATTAATAATATTTAATTAATAACATTTTAAATTAATAAATTAATAAATTAATTAATAATATTTTAAATATTATTTTTTATTAAATATTATTAAATATGATTTTTATGAACTGCATATAAGAAGAATATCAAAATTGTTCAGAATGAAATATAATTATATTGCAGAACACACTTTTTCCTGTATGAATTCAGTTTACATGTATTTTAATAAATTTTACGTACATTGTTTTGATAAATCATTTGTAATCTTTAAAAAAATATAGACTTTTTTAACATGGCAGTTGCCAAACTGCCATTCTCATACATATCCATTGTTCGTATTAAATACGCAAGAATTTGTTAAATACTTGGGAAAATGAAACAATGAGACACAAAGTTTACGAATACGTCTCATGAATATTTCGACATTCTCATAGACGCTTTCTTACTTCACATTGGCTAACTTGCGAGCTACATCAGAGGGACATTACAAAATTGATTAGAGAAAATTAAGGATAATTACAAGATTGTGATACATAGAATTCACACATATATATAATAGGTTGTAATATCCAGAAACAGAACACGATATTATTTACACCCCCATTTTACATGTATTGTGAAGCAGCAGTTTGGTATGCAAGCCGCTCTCCCATTTTTCTTTACATATATATAAGATAAGATGTACGAAAAGGAAGAGACGGAAGAGAAGAAAGGAAGAGGAAAAGATGGAAAAATCAAATTGACCCGACGTGAGTGCTTATCGGTTAAACTAGAGATGACAATGATGGCAGGAGGGTGGGGAGGCAGGAACGTGCGGGGGCACATTCGTGGACCAACGGGGTGATGTCGGTCGTCTGCGAAGTCGGGGGTTGCCATGACGATGGAGGTTCTCAACACGTGGTGGCTCCTGCGAGCGCACGGCAACGTTTTATTAACGAGCCGCGGGGTGCATTCGGTGCATTTGGCCCGTCTCTAGAAAGGGGTTGCGCCCTCCGCACGGCGCAAGGCGCGAGAACAAGGGCGCCACGTGAAGTGGCGGCGAGAGATCCCTAGCGCCTTCTTTCGCGCGCGCGCGCTCCGGAGGGAAGGAGACACTGCCGCGCTCCTTCTTCGGCTGCTGGAAGACGCCGCGCGGAAGTTCCAGCGACAAATTAGCTTCGGCCATAATTATTCGGAGCGGGGCATGCCGTCGCGCGTCGCACTCGGCTGCACCGCGATGCGCTCACGCGGTCGAGACGGCTAATTAGCCGAGACGTGGCTGATCCTGCCGCCGCGCTGGGAATCCAAAGTTCTTCGCGATTATCGTGGTTTACCGGGATAAGAAGAGGAAAAAGGAACGACGGAAGGAAAAAAAGGGGGATACAATCGCGAGGACGTCGACAATCGGGCAAAGAGACGCCACATCTCTCCCTAATTAAATTTTGCCGAGACGCCGAGCGCGATTCCTTCTTTCCTCGCCGCGACTTCAGACTACCGGCGGCGTGTGCGCGTTGATTGACGGCGGAGGGGACGAGGGACTTACGGGATGAAAGTTCGAGCTCCGACGTCTCCTCTCGGAGGGATGATCAAAGGACGCGCTGCGTGGACGACAGGCGGCCGTGCAAATGTCCCGAGACATTTTCGATGTTTTCGTAAGCAAGGAGCCGCGTTGAATTTGAATACCCGCATCCTTCCGCCGACTTCCCGCCGACGCGACTGTATTATTATCATACGTGGGAATCGCGGCGCGAATCTCTTCGAAGCCGGAAATTCAGGAGCTGGATGGACCGTGTTTATCTCACCGGGATATTGTCGGAGTCATTTCGAGGGACGTTTATGCATGCATCCGCGAGTTTACGGCCGTGTTGCATTTGGACTGATTGTGCGACAAGGTTCCAGGCAACGAGAGACGCACTGAAAAAAAGAGAGGAGGGGGAAGTGGGAGAGAGAGAGAGAGAGAAAGACACAGGTTTATCTATTCAAATATAGGAGAATCGCAATCTAGTTTTGTATTCAAAGCGCGCGAAGCTTTACTCAAGAGCGATTCCAGACGTAGGGTCGCCTCGTTACAATTGGAATGCCGCCAAATCTCGGTTGCATACTGAGTATGTATGTGTGTGTGTGCGCGCGCGCGATGGCGGCACTGCGAAATCCACGGTGTCGTCGAAGCCGTGCACGTCTGCGATTCCGGACGCGCGCCGTATAAATATCGCGGTTTCCTCGTCCTCGTGCGAAGCGAGGGGATCGCGGCGATCTCGCTTCCACGTCGTTATATTCGCTCAACTCGCGAGCTACATTTCTCACGAGAAGTCCGTCACGGAAGTATCGTCGCGTATCGAGCGTTTCCGCCGCGCCGCCGCGATAATCGAATGCGTGCAGCAGCGGCGGAAAAGTGCGGCGGAAAGCGGGCTAGTGGTGTAGCTAGCGTGCTCTCTTAACGGCTTTCAGTCACGAGAGGAACAACCGGCGCTCGCGTGAAAGGGGATTGGAAAAGTTGTCGATTATGATGATCATCGACCGGAAAAATAGCGCCGGTAAACCGTCTCGTCCTTTTTCCTCCGGCCGTTTTCTCTCGGCTTCTCTCCCGACGCCTCTTGCCCTTCTCCTCCGCTCCCAGCGACTCTCCCGCTACCTCATCTGTTATAAGACGCGAAGTTTTTCATCGCTCAGTGAAAAGGACTATTGGCGGCGGCGGCGGCGATGGTTTTGCGAAAATTAAGGAGGACGAGAAAAAGCCGTGAGAGTTCGGGGAACGGGATTTACGCGCTGAATGCCTTCGCTGCTCGTTTATGTGACCGCTGAAAAATTTTTTACGACCTTTGGCTTTAGATTTGTGCTCTTCTTAACGTAGCGCATGACACAAGGTCTATATAATGACGCAAAAATGCGGTGAGACGTAATTAATATGTATTACTTATGTATTATATAATTCAGATATGTAGATGAAGAAATTCGCAGTAAGCCTCCATCCTTCGGTTAATTTGTTGTCAAAGCGATAGATTATGTTGTTGTGTCGATAGGAACTTTCACGTTCGCACATTTCGAGAGATCCTGCGACATAAAAAAAAAACTGTCCAAGAATTCCATGTTTCCTTTTTTTTTACGTGGATAGAATTTGGGGAATTTTTTGGCGTTTCTTCAATTTCCCCATTGATTTATTTCGCGGCGGATTCATGCCACCGATTGTCGCGAGCGACGCGTCGTTACGGCGCGTCGCGCGGAATCGTCGATTCCGATAAGCGAACTTAATTAACTCGTCGAACAGAGAGGGATGGCTTCCGCCAATATCCGGTATTGTCCGACGGGGAGAAAGGATGAGACATCCTCTCCGCCCACCGGCCGCGACGGTCGATTTAATCTCTCTTGATTAACCACCATTCGATCCCACGGTGGCGCCCGATAACTCGGTTATGTTCGACACAGACGTACCAACACACACACACACACACACACACATTTAAACGAACGAGCCTCTTTTCCTGCGGGAGAGTATTACTCTAGCTCTCTTCCGTTGTTCCGGCAGCACGAGAAAGAAGTTCCTGCCCGAAGTTTCAAACTTTCTTCGGCTTGAT